GGAGGGGCTCACGGTGTGAGGTGCAGAGACACTCACGCCACGTGTCCCCTGCATGAAGGACCACAGTCTCATCAGTGCCACCAGAAGGTTTTCCTGTCATGGTGACAGCTCTCAGGAGAAACCTCGGCCCAGGCGGGGGGGGGGGGGGGGCGGCCGGGAGGGGCACTCTTCCATCGCCCCAAATTCTGTCAGCCCTCTCGGCTTGCGACCCAGTCCTCATACACACTCGCTGTGGGAGGGGAACCCACTCCCAGGTGTAGACGCCCTCCTGGGAAACCCACCCAGGGGGCTGTGCACAGACACCGGCTTCTGTAAATATGCTTCCTTTTCTGGGGTTCTAGCAAAGGGCACGTCCTGCTGGCATGCTCCTGTCCCACTTCCTCCCACCCCACGGCTGCCCACAGGGCCTCTGAGCACGTTTGATCCCCATTTCCTTCCCCAGGAAGAGAGGCTCCCTCTCCGCACCCCAGGCAGCCCAGCCAGAAACCTGTCGGACAGGCTCAGAGGGAAGGAGAACCAGCTAGACTCTGTCCTCAGCACCTCCCACCACAGAAAGACTGAATGGGCTGGAAGTACTGAAAACCGCCTGGGGTGGTGCTCGGACCCACCTGTCCACAGAAACAAGCCTGTCACAGAAGGGCAAATCTTGTGGGACTCCACTCCCCTGGGGCCCCTAGAGGAGCCCCATTCCCAGTGGCGGAGAGCAGGAGGGGCGCCAGGGGCTGGAGGTGTGTTCACGGGGTCAGAGACTCGGTCTGGGGACATGAGAAAGTCCTGGTGACAGAGGGTGGTGGCTGCACAATAGTGGGAGTGTGCTAACGGCCACTGAGCTGTCTGTTCCCTCATGGATGGTTCAGAGGTCAAGTTCTTTGTCAGGTATATTTTAGCACAATTTTACGAGTTGGGGTGGTCAGTGCAGGGCCTTGGCATCCGTGTCCGGGGGTGGAGAGACAGCACACACACCGGGCATGGGGGCAGCTCACAGCTCGCAGCCCTGAGCAGTCAGCAGCCCAGCTGCCCGGCCTGGAGGTGGCTCTGAGGAATGTCATCGAGCCTCTAAAAACAGACACCCTCCTGAACCTTTGCCTCTCTGGCCGCTCGCTTACTCCCTCTGTGAGCAGCGCCTCCCTATGTATCCTGTTCGTGATTCAGCCCCTTTGGGTCACTGTGGACACTCTGCTGGACGCTCTGCTGGTGGGAAGGGAGGTGCAGATGGTCGATACCTACCTCTGTATGCCGGGACACCCCCACGGGCCCTGGCAGGTCCCACAATGCTCCGCTCTGGACCCAGTGAGCCCCACGGCTCTGTCCTGAAACGTGGCAGCTGCTGTGCGTCTGGGCTGAGGGGCTGTTAGAAAACTTCAGAGAGAAGAGCACAGAGACGCGTGCTGTTCTCCCTGCAGAACAGCCTCCCCAAGAAAAATTCTCAAGCAGAGAAGAGTTCCTCACCTCCCGGTCACAGAAATCCGGGTCACAGTGTCTCCTGTGTGTCCAGGATAGGATTGCCAGCTGAAATGAGGGAGCCTGTCACCTCTGAGGTGTACCCACACAGCCACCACGGAGTTAGTGGAAGTGTGCCCCGTGCTGGTGCCTGGCACGTGTACTTTCACAGGAAAGTGTCAGTATGTCTCTGGGTGTGTAACTTACATGCCATGAATCTGGGACATTGTCTTTTTATTGTTGCACTAGGGTCCCAAACTTTTGTTTTTTTTTTTAAATTTTTTAAAAGTTTATTCATTTTTGAGAGACAGAGAGTGGGGGAGGGGCAGAGAGAGACAGACACAGAATCCGAAGCAGGATCCAGGCTCTGAGCTGTCACCACACAGCCCGACGTGGGGCTCGAACCCACGAACCTTGAGATCATGACCTGAGCCGAAGTCAGATGCTCAACCGACTGACCCCCCCAGGTGCCCTTGTTTTCTAGTTTGTTTGTTTTTTTTACTGTTTTTATTTACTTTTGAGACAGAGAGAGACAAAGCATGAGCAGAGGAGGGGCAGAGAGAGGGAGACACAGAATCCCAAGCAGGCTCCAGGCTGTCAGCACAGAGCCCGACGTGGGGCTCAAACGCATGGAGTATGAGATTAATACCTGAGCTGAAGTCGGATGCTTAACCTAGTGAGCCACCCAGGTGCCCCTATTATACTTTAGATTTGACCCCTTATAAAATGTAAATAAACATGTCTTTATTTAAAAAAAAATTTATTTTTAACATTTATTCATTTTTGAGAGTCAGACCATGAATGGGGGCAGAGAGAGAGAGGGGGAGACACAGAATCCGAAGCAGTTCCAGGCTCCGAGCTGTCAGCACAGAGTCTGACGCGGGGCTTGAACTCACGGACCATGTGACCATGACTTGAGCCACAGTCGGACACCCAGCTGAGCCCCCCAGGCGCCCCTGAAGTCCCAGAGTTGTCAGTGCTTTCATTTCTCAGCAGTAGAAATATTTTTGAATGTGACTGCGTTTGGAGATCCAGCCTTTAAAGAAGTGAGGGTAAAACGAGGTCAGTCGGTAGCCCTGATCCCACATGACTGGTGTCCTAATAAGAGGAGGTCAGGACGCACAGAGGAAGCAGGTGAGGACGCGGGCAGGAGACGGTGTCCACGCACCCAGGAGAATGGCACATTGGGAACCAGCCCTCGGACCTGCAGGCTCCAAGACTACGTGAGCACGGGTGCTGTCTAGCGGCCGGGCTGTGGTTCTTTGTCACAGAGGCCTGCTCCGTCGGCAGAAAAACGGGGTTCTAGCACAGAAGGGAGGACAGGAGAAGGAAGGCTGGGGACGAGCAACAGTGTGTGCCTGTCCCAGCCTGGTACCCTCCCACCCTTCCTGAGACTGTCTGTTCGTCCGTCTGTCTGGTGGAGCAGGTGGAGGCAGGACCCCTGGTTTCTTGGCTTCCTGGGGACGGGGTGCTTCCTGCGCCTCCCCTCCCGCAGCGTCCCTGAGCGTTTTGTAAGATTAGGTTGTATCACAGTGTTTGTTCTTTAAAATGTGCATTTAATCTTGTTACAAAATAAAACTTGCTTACAAGGAACACTCCCTCAAAATGATCTCTGAAAACAAATCGTGAGTTTCTCCAATGCCCAGAGCCCACAGAACAGCTGCATTCCACGTCTGTGCTGGAAGAACTGGAAACGCCAGCTCAGGCTATAATTGCAGGGCTCCCTGCTCAGTGGACCTGCCCTCTTCCAAAACCTGTTTTTCTTCTGCAGAGGACATCACTGAAGGGTCTGGGGTGACTTCCTGCGGGGCACTCACAATCTGCCCTCGGAGGAAATCGAGTGTGAGGCACCTGAGCCTGGGAGGCTGGGACGGGAACAAGAGGCCCGGGGTTTGCTGAGCACAGTCCACACGCCAGGCAATGACTGAGCCCCTTCCGGCTCCTGCTGGGGAGAAGGAGACATGTCCAAGAGGACGAGCCTGGCCGGGGTCACACCCCCAGAAACTGAGCAGGGGACCTGCATGGCCTGGGGGACTGCATTTTCACCCATGACAGTCTCGAGAGGGTGACATTTCCCCAAAGAGAAAGGCTCTTGTCAAGTGGCCCCGCAGCCTGGTGTACCTGGGCTGTCCCAAGGCAATGATTTCACTCACACTCCTGGGCTGGACCCCCCCTGCGGGGACTGGAGGAATGTGTAGTGTCTGATGACGGTAACCTTGGGACAGGGCCCCACACTCGCTCCAGGAAGGTGGCCGCTCAGACTCAGAGTTGTGGGCATTTCATGGGGTCACTGGAGACCCCATAGCACCCCGCCTCTCTGATAATATCTGCACATGTCCCTTCTGGCTTCATGGGGACGGCAGATGTGAGAGCCTCAGGATCCTCCAGGTGGCTGGCGGTGCACTGACCTCCGAGCAGGCCACAGTGGGCTGGTGGGGGGCCAAGGCCGCAGGGCCAGTTCTGCCCCCTGTGGGGAGGGCATTACTGCTTTACTGGTTACACACTGTATTATGGAAACTTTCAGAACGGAAAACCGCTCCGTGTACCCAGTGCCCAGCTTCCTGGTTCGGCCATGACTCCATTCGCCCATCTTTTTTCTCTCTTCTGGAATGAATCTAATGCCAACTCCAAACCTCATATTATTTTACCCATCAATACTCTTCTTTAGTCAAATAGAAAACATATCTGGACTTAGTACTTTAATTCAAAGGGATGGGGCTACTGCCATAGTGAGGTCTGGAAGCTTCTCTGGAGCTAGGCCATGGGAGGCTTGCTTCACGGGGCACAGTAAGGTAGGTGAGACAGCGGGCTGGTGGCCCGCAGGCTCAGCGGTGGGAGCCGACCCGCCCTGCAAGGCGAAAACAGTCCAGCTCATTACTGCTGGAGCAAAGGAGGGGTGTAGGGGGCAGAGTCTGGCTGGTCCCGGATAAGCAGGGGACCCCAAGTCTCACCTGCACCCCAGGAGAGGGCTCCCCGTGGGGATCTCTTTAGCAGGACACACAGGGGGCGTGTTAACCTCCACTGTTTCCCAGGGCTCAGCTGTGTCAGCCCCCAGTAATACACACACACACATGCGTGTGCACACACACACACACCACCTCACTACCGGGACACACCAGCGTCACTAATGTTCCCTTGTCCGTCTGCCTCCCAGTCCTCGCCCAGTCTCGCCCCCCGCCCCCACCCCCGCCACCGCAGGGTCTTCCCGGGTGTGGCCATGTTGCATCTGGTGGTCACGTCTCTCCAGCTCTTTTCAACTGAATCAGTCGACCCCCGCAGCCCTCGCTGAATGTGGGGTCACGCTGTGGTACAGGCCCCGGCTGGGGACCAGCACCCACATCCGGGGCTCGGCAGAAATGCAGCCTCAGGCTCCCACGGCCGCTCTCTGGGTCAGGGTCTCCGTCTGGGCAGTGTCGCCGGGGTGTCCACCCACCTCCCCTGCTGAGGCTCGGCCTGCACAGAAACTTGGGGACGTGGCAGGGGGCCATGGTGGTACCTGGCGAGTGACAGCCTGCACGGTCTCCAGGGAGGACGGCTCAGCGCTCTGGCTGCCAGCTCTGAGGGAAGGCTTCTGGCAGGGAGGGTGCCCAGGGAACTCAGCCCTGGGCATGTGGACGGAGGTACTTGGAGGGCACAGTGCGCACTACCTCCTGTTCCCAAGGGGAGGCTCAGGCAGACCCTGGGCCGGCAGCCCTCTGCTTCCTGCCCTCTGGCCGCTGCCGTCCTGGCCACCTGGGCCTCCTCATCCTCTTCCCTCCCCTACTTCCTGGGCTGGCCGCTCTTACCTCGCTTGCCCCCACACAGGATGCCGGTCCTCCCGTGTCATCTGGCCCCAATACACCTGCCAGGGGTACCGCCATCAGGCTCAAGCCCAAGTGCATGTGTCCTGTGGCCTGGGTTTCCTGCGGGGGCATCAGAGCCAAGGCCATGCTGCTCTTCAGGCAGTTGTGAGAAAGTGTGTGGCAGGGAGTGAGGCCGGATCCTGACCCCCATCAAGAGAGGAGGGGAACCTGCAGGCAAGGAGACAGGCGTGTCCCGGGACTGCTGGGTGGGATGGAAGCGGGGGTGCTGAGTGCCAGAGAAGTGGGGGCAGGAGCATCAGCTTGCTAGTAGGCCTCGCAACAGGAAGCAGGAAACGGGGTTTAGCCCCGGAGAAGAGTTGGAAGGGTGGGGGTGGGGGGGCTTCAGGGAGTCTTTCCCTTTGGCTGGTAGCAGCCATCCAGGTGGGGAGAGAAACCCGCCAAAGGAAGATGAGCAGGTGCGCAAGGCGTGGGCCAGGGGAGACCCCATGTTGGTGTGAAGATAAGTCACCCCATCTGCCAACTTGAATGTCACACAAGAAAGTACCCTTGTTGAGAGTGTCCCGAGGAGGTCAGAGCAGGGACCGGGGGGGGGGGGGGCTTACAAAGGGCACTGCACTAAGCTGTGGCACCAGGACGCTGGCAGAACTGACCTTTGCGGTTAGGTCCAGGGGACCCTAAATTCCCTACAGCCCCCCAGGGTCCTCAGAAGCCTGATGATGGCTGGCGGCGGGGGGTGGGGGGGGGGGGGTCCTGCCGGCTCCTCTGCAGGCTCTCTGCTTAGCCCTGGATGGATCAGCTCCGAGCCGTGTCGGCTGCCCGCAGGTCCAGTAAAGCTTGGGTAGACGTGTGGGGGGCGCAGCCACGTCTCTGCGTGGCCCACAGGCACTTCTCACGAGAAAGTACACACGTGCCCCAGAAAGGCATTTCCTCGGACAGGGCTGGTCACAGGTGGACTGGGCTCTGGGGCTCAGAGAAAGCGTCTTCCTGCTTGGGCTCATTGTTTCAAAAAGGACCCTTGGGGTGAGGAGGGCTGAGGCTACGAAGTGCCTTAAATCCAAAATTCAAAGAACCTTAAATACCCACTTTCTCACCACATTTGTAAACCAAAATTCACAACATAGTTCTGGCAAATTTTCTGTGGTCTCCCTGATTTGACAAGGTTTTCACGCCCCAGTGTTGAAATCTCAGGAGAGTAATGGTGCTGGCTCCCAGGGCTGCCCCTGCAGGGCTCAGGGCGTCAGGGCACCAGGACTGCTCCGGGCGTGCCTTGATGCCTTTAGTTTTGCTGGTGACTCCCCTCCCCCTCGCCCTGAGGAACAAGATTGCAGACAGCACCTGGCCTTGACTCACACGCCCAAGATTCTGAACACGTTATTGGAGGGGTGGCTGAATAGGGAACCCCCCCGTTCTGCCTCCTGTGGGGGCGCCCCCTGAGCTGTGAACCCCCAGTCACCCCAGATGACCATCCTGCAGGGTGGTGCACAGCCAGCCAGTTCCCGTGACCATGTGACCCCTGGCAGGGTGGGGGCTTTCCCAGGCAGTCAGGGCAGGACTGGAACCCGGGACCCCCTCCCCAGCCGGGTTTGGGGAGGCAGGAAGGAACAGGGCAGGTCCCCAGCTGGGTGCAGGGATTATACGCTGTTCTCAGGTCTGAAGTGAAGACTGAAAAAAACAAGTGAAAAGTAAGACTTGCTCTTTTCCAGCACAAGAAAAATTAAAATAGGGCTCATAGGTCAGAGCTCTGACCTTCGGACCGGCCAGGCACTGAAGTTTGAAGATATCTCAGGAGAACCTCAACTCTATCTCCCACCTTTGCTCAAAGCCCGGGAGGCCTGAAGGGAGTGACCGGGAAATGCCGCCCACCCACCCAGCCAGCCTGGGGGGTGGGGGTGGGCGGGGCGCACACCTTGCGCTCCAGACCGCCTCCCGTGGTCCCCTGACCCCGACCTCAGCCTCCCATCCCGCACCCCTCCCTCCGGGCTTAACACCTCCCACGCTCCCAGCTCCAGCAGCTCCGGACACCGCCCTCCGCGGGGGCCGCGGGAGCAGGTGCAGCCCCGCCCCTCTCCCTCCCGCTGCTCATCCCTCGGGCCCCGCCCCCCGCCCCGCCTCCGGGCCCGGCGGCCCGGCGGAAGGACACGCGCTCCGGTCCAGGGAGGGAGACTCGTACCCCTCGGCGTGCAGCCCGCGGTCCCCGCGCCCCCGGGCGCCCCCTCCCCGCCCTCCCGGCATGGAGCCTGCGGGGCGCCCCCGGGACCGGGTCCCCAGGTGGGCGCGTGGGGGCCGGGGCGCGCCTCGCCCAGCCTGGGGTGTGGGGTGCGGGATGGGGACCTGGGTTGTGGGGTGCGAGTGGGTGGGGAGCGGCGGGGAGGGCCGGGGCGCGCCCCCCCCCGCACTTGGGTCGGTCGCGGTTCCCGTCGCGTCGCCACCCCCACGCGCGCACGCGGCCTCGTCCCCGCGGGGACCCAGTGCGCGCGCGAAACTTTATTTAGGGCTTACAGGTTCCTTTTCTTCTCGTTGCAGGATCGATCCGTACGGGTTTGAAAGGCCCGAAGACTTTGATTATGCAGCTTATGAGGAGTTTTTTTCCGCCTACCTGGTGATACTCACTAGAAGAGCGATGAAATGGTCCAAACTTTTGAAGGGGGGCGGAGGTGTCCAGAAGAGCGGTACAGGTGGGTCGGAGGCCGCGGACCGGCCAGAGCTGGTTCTGAGGGGCGGGGTCTCCGTCCCACCCCCCCCCCCCCCCCCCCCTGCCTCAGCGCGGAAGCCCCTGCCCGGTGGCCTTCCCAGCCCAGCTCTCTGTGGGCCTGGCGCCTCCTCCAGGCCTGCCCTCCCTGGCGCTCTCCCTCCTGCGGGTCTGGGAGGGCAGGCTTCCACACCGCCACAGAAGCCGGCCCCTGCCCTGTCCCGCCTGTGTTGACCTCTGGCTGCTCGTCTGGTTTCTGGTGTGGTTTGCTTTCCTCTGGGAATCACATTCCCCTCCCTGCCCCAGCGTTGGCCTCTACACTTGCTTCAACGTTTGTTGAATGAATGGAGTGTTTTCCCCAGGCCGCAGATAAGGAGCCGGTGGGGACCTGCCCGAATGTGGTGAGGCCCTTGGGAGGTGTATGCTTCCGGGACTCAAGATAAGGGTAGGGCTTTCTGAGATAGGGCTTTGGTGACCAAGAACGGTGAGGGCAGAGGTCAGCGGCAGGGACAGAGCTGTGTGACTGGTAGAGGGGACGTAATGAGAGCGTTCTGGTCTTGGGCCCAGGGCTCCATCACATGACTGGGCAGAGAGGCCAGCTGTAAGAGTTTTTTGTTTTTTTTTAATTCACTTTTGAGAGAGAGAGAGAGAGAGAGAGAGAGAGAGAGAGACAGAGAGCTCGAGTTCAGGTGGGGTAAAGAGTCAGAAGGAGAGAGAGAATCCCAAGCGTGCTGATGTGGGGCTGCATCCCACAATCCTGGGATCATGACCTGAGCCGAAATTAAATGTTGGGTGGACGCTCGACTGACTGAGCCACCCAGGGGCTCCAGTAAAAGGGTTTTTAAGCAAGAGGGTGTGACAAGGTCAAGTTTTGCTTTTAAAGGGGTTGGTGAACTAAGGCCCAGAGCGGCCCCAGTACATAGTGCAGTTGCGCAGGGTTGGTGGGGACAGGTTGATCTTGGGGGTGGGGCGCTCAGGGAGGAGGGAGAGAGGCTCTTTCTCAACTCTGGGCCCCACCACCCACCTGCCTCTCCCTTGACCAGGGGCCCTCCTCGGGGCTGTTACTGCTGGGGGAGTGTTCAGGAGCGACTCAGGTGAACTAGCAGTTCACACAGTCCCAAGGGCCGGGAGGGGCCTCAGGCTGGTCCCCTGTTGCCAGGCAGACCTTGGATGCCGCCAGCGCCCTGTGCGCTCCCTGCAGGGATCATCCCCCAGCGCCCATCCCTGCGTCGCCTCTGTTTCCATCGGCGTGTCTGCCTTTATTCTCCTTTGTGTTTATTCTTAAGAGTTGATTGGTCTTTTGTTTTTAAAAAATACAAGTGTATAAAAGTAAAGCTAATTTGGATCCATAGTGAAAATCTGCATCACATGAAGTACCAGGGGCTCTCCTCCTGGCCCAGCTGTTGGTTCAGGCAGCGGCCATTGCTGATAGCACCGTGCGCCTCCCACGCACGTGTGCAAATGTGGCGGCTGGCCCCGCAGGCCGGGAGTTGGCGGGAACTCGGGAGAAGCCTCCCGTGGCTGACCCTGGACCCGGAGGCTGGTAGCACGCAGTCACTAAGACGTGCGTGCGCCTCAGTGGCCCTGTCTGTGGTGTTACCATCTGGTTCTAGCCTTTCCCTGTCCTTCCCTTTGGAGAACCCTCAGCATCTCTGTCCTAAGCTGCATGTGGCGCCAAGTGTCTCTTTTCCGGCATCTGTTCTGTTCAGCGTGCAGAACCTTCCAGATGCTCACCCTTCCTGTCTTTTCCAGTTGTCTTCCCTGGTTCAAAGGTCTTATCTGGTTTCTGCTCCTACTTTCTTTGAGCACTGGTGTCTGTGAGCTCTAAGAATTTCAGTTTGGTTTACTGAAAGAATTCTCTTTTTGTTTTAACATTTCCTTGACTTACATAACAGACTGTGACTGTGGTAAAGAGAGGGGCAAAACAGGTTTGGAAGCCAGAGTGTCAGCTTTGCGATGAGCCTCGGGCCTGGGGGAGGGCAGCCTGGTGTTCCCTCAGGAAACAGAAGCACAGGTCAGTCTGTAAGAGGTGTGTGGTTCATAGGGTTCAGTGGCCCCGGGTGTCGTGGCTGGTGCTGGTGTGGTTTCGGGGCAGGACGGTCGGGGAGCCTGTCAGCACCTGCACGGCTCTGTGGGAGTGGCTGTGTGGCACAGACAGGAGTGGATGAGTTATTCCAGAAATGAGAGTCCAGTTCTGTAGTCACACTCAGCTGACTGTCCTGCAGGGACCATGACATCCCAGGGGGGAAGGGCCTTGGTGGGCATCGTTCTGTGACCTCAGTGACCGGGTCTTGTTGCTTCGTTGTCCTGTGTAGTTTTCTGTTTTGGGGGACTTTTGTCTAGATGCCTGCCTTCCTGTCACCAATAACATGGTCACCTCCGAATCTTGGCATCAGCACGTCTCTAGGTGGCCACCAGAACTCACTGGCCCGATTCTGCCACATGTGGACACAACCAGTGTTTCCTCTTTGTTTCCTTTTTTGTCCATAGCAAATACCCACCAGGAGCACGTGAGACAGGTCGATCCTTCTCCCGTAGCCTAGAAAAACGAATTCAGTCCTGCCCTGGCCCAGCCATTGCTCCAGCTCACGTCCCGTCTGAGGGCGGATGCTGAACTGCCTTCTGCAGGGTCTCAGCTCTTTCCTGGTAGCTGCAAATGTCAGCAGCATCTAAGTTAGAATTAAGTTGCAAACACCTCTTTCCAAAGGCAAATACCAATAAATACAGGGATTTGCTTAACTTTGTTGGGACAGACAGTTGGAAGTGATTTGTCTGGGGTCCACCTTGTTTAAAGAGATGCCCCCCTCATCTTCCCAAGGTCAGGAATGCTGCCGGACAAGTCCTGTCCTGAGGAAGGGGTCAGTGGCAACAGCCTTTGTCCCTGGAAGCTGTTGACACAGCTCAGCCTCCTCGGCCACCTGGATCTCAGGCCGGCCACCTGGATCTCAGGCCGGGGCCCCGTGCTTCACCCCCGTCTGACGAGGAAACTGAGGCCTCTGCCAGGCGGGACCTGCGGGTCCCAGTAGAACCCAGTGTCCGACTCCAGTGAGGCGTTTAAGCATCTTACAGGTGCCTTTTTTTTCTATTTACAAATTTAATTTGTAGTGAAATACGCTCTTACTAGTTATACTTCTGTGAGTTCATGGGGAGGTTCGTGTCCCCTCAAGACTGAAACCAGCCCATGTCCTTAAACACTTGCTCCTGCTGCCCCTATGGGCCCCGTGCGCCGCCTGGGCGCTGGGGCCTCTGAGAGTGTCCTGCCAGCGGGCCCCACGGCCCCAGGCCTGTGAGGCTGGCTCCCCCTGTGCCCTGATCTGGGGGATCCCGTCCTTCTTCCCTCCTTGCTGAGGAACACCTCGCTCTCCGGGACCACGTTCGGCAGCTGCAGGACCTTTGAGCCGATGGTATAAACAGCCGTGCAAGCACCTGTGAGCACTGAGGCTTTCCTGAAGCAGGGTTGTGGGCTTGGAGCCGAGTGTGGGTCTCACCCCCCCACCCCCATGGCCGAGCTCCGCCCGCAGTGACCCGGTTCCCTCGTGCCCTGTTTTGAGCCTTCATCGGAAAGACTGTTTTGCCCCTTCTGCCCGCAAGACTTTCCTTTGCGACGCTGTTGAAACGCAGTCAGCTCTGCTCCTGTGGTTATTTCTGGAGTTTCCTTATGCTCCGCTGCCTGCGAGTGGGGCCTGAGGTCGGAGGTGAGCCCCTGACTCGGCGGCTCCTCTGGTCCCCCTGGGGATTGTTGTGGTTCCAGGCGTCAGTTGTGCTGGAGGCAGCCTGGGGTCTGCGTGTCCCCCCTTTGCACGTCTTCAAGTTAGGCATCCCTGGCCGCGGACTGGCCCCCGGGGGTGGCCACAGCATCTGCCTGGCTCCCTGCGGCCGGAGACCCCTGCCGGCTCCGGCGGAAAGCGTGACAGGCTGGAGTCAAGGCGGCCCCAGTGGCTAGTGTCCTTGGTTCGCGTGACCTCACCAGCGTGGGGACGCCCCAGAGGGTCTCTACTCCCTGTGGCTTCCGCCCCTCATCCCGCACACAACTGCTGGGCCTTTCCTGCCCTCATGCGCCCTCTGGAAGCTTCCGCTGAGGCCGCATCCGTGGTGGGTTAGCGCAGACTGCGAGTTAGCGGAGCTTTATCAGTGCTTTCCGTGGCGGCTCTTCCTGCCACGGTTTTTTGTGATATGCAGCTGGCGCCACAGATGCTTTTCTCCTTGTAGCAGATCGTGGACTTTCTTTGTATGGCCTTTTGTTTTTTCTTAAAATGCATTTTTTTTAATGTTTGTTTATTTTTTGAGACAGAGACAGAGCATGAGCAGAAGAGGGTAGAGAGAGAGAGGGAGGAAGACACAGAATCCAAAGTAGGCTCCAGGCTCCGAGCTGTCGGCACAGAGCCCGATGCGGGGCTCGAACTCACGAGCTGTGACATCATGACCTGAGCTTAAGTCGGATGCTCAACCAACTGAGCCACCCAGGCACCCCTAATGCATTTCTTTTTTTAAAAATGGTATTGTGGGGCGCCTGGGGGGCTCCAATGGTTAAGCGTTCGACTTCAGCTCAGGTCGTGATCTCCCGGTTTGTGAGTTCAAGCCCCGCGTCGGGCTCTGTGCCGAGAGCTCGGAGCCTGGAGCCTGCTTTGGATTCTGTGTCTCCCTCTCTCTCTGCCCCTCCTCCGCTCTTGCTCTGTCTCTGTCTCAAAAATAAAATAAACATTAAAAAAGAAAATAAAAATGGTATTTGTAATGTAATATGGAAGGAAAATAATAAAGCTTTGAGTATTTCCTTCGATGAACAGTTTTGAGGGTTAAACTGAGGTCATTAAAAGCATGGTGTTGCACCCCTGGCTTCCTGTAATTTGCTTGAACATCGTCTCACAAATCTTTCCTGTTTACCTGGGAAACGAGCGAGCAAGTTGTTACCTAAGGTAGCTTGTGGTTCTTGGCTTCTTTTCCTACGTGTTTCTATGGTCGCTAGACAATCGATGATTCCTTTCTCATGTATTTATTTTCAGTAAAATATCCCTCCCAAAGGAAGTAGCTCTCCACTGACACAAGTCAAGTGCAGAACAGGACACAAACACCGGCCGCTGAGCCCCCCGCCAGGGGGTCACACAGGCTCCCAGCCTGGGACCCTGCAGTCCCTTGTCACCTCCAGGGCTGGACCATGCACCAGCGCCTCTGTCCCTGCCCACAGCTGTCCCTCTGGCCCTCGCTTCTGCTTCCTGCCTCATGTCCCCTCACTTGGTGCAGCTTCTGTGCCTCCGGCCTTCCGGGTATCTCCTGTGTGTGGAGCTTGTGGGGCCGCCCTGGGCTGCAGTGACTGATCCTGGCCCCAGGGGCCCGGCCCGCTGCCCCTGCACGGTGTGCTGACGGTGAGGGAGGACGGGGGCCGGGGTGGGGGTGGGGGGGCTGCCCCGTGCAGGAGAACGGTCTGCAAGGAGTGCACGCAGCCATCTGGGTGGGCATGTGCAAAGTTCTGCTCTTCTCATGTTTGACATGGGAGAAGCCAGGCGAAAGCATTGAGGTCGTGCCCTTTGCTGTCAGGCTCTGCCAGGCTCTGACCCCAGGCCACGCTGGTCTGTCCCTGACTGCAGCCCCTGCTTTCCATCTCAGTGAAGCGCTATATCCGGAAAGGTGTCCCCCTGGAGCACCGGGCCCACGTCTGGATGGGGGTGAGCGGAGCCCAGGCCCGGATGGACCAGAACCCCGGCTATTACCACCGGCTACTGCAGGGAGAGTGCAGCGGCAGGCTGGAGGAGGCCATCCGGACAGGTGAGTCGCGGGCGGGCGCGGGGGGCACGCAGACCCCAGGAGGGAACTTGCGCTGTTACAGATTGCCCACTGCTTTTAATTTGGAATTTTATTTTTCTTAAGGGAAAATCAAACCTTGAACATTCGTGAGGGGAGAACAGTGTTTTTCACTGATTCGGCAAACACTAGACGCCAGCCAGCTGGGAAGGTCAGGGGCAAGGGCAGGGGCAAGGGCAGGGCCGGTTTCTGCAAGAAGACCTTGCTGCAGGCTCTGAGCCGGCAGTCGTGACCGGAGGGTAATCGCTGGGAGGGCTTTGTGCTGATGGCAGCGCCCTGGGACTTAGGGACACACGTGGGGATGTGTGGCTGGTGTCGAGCTCTGGGTGCCGACGGTGCTCCAGGCACTCTCAGTGACCACACAGACTCACGAGCTCTTAGATGTTCCAAGTGCTCAAAACAAACGTTTAACCCTTATAAACTGAATAATTTAGATTCTTAGGAAGTGTGACTGACCGTCTGATTTTGCTTTTGAGAAATACACCCTTAAATATAAAATAATTAAAGCTGAGAGGTGGGACTCCCTGTTGGCGGTGAGACTGGGGAGTGTCCCCAGCCTGGGGAGGGGGTCCCTTGCGCAGAGGCCACGTGTGTCAAGGAAAACAGAGTGTTGCTGTTGGTTTGAAAAATGAACTGAAAGGCTCTGTTTTAATGCCGGTGTTTTTGGATAAAAATGTCTTATTGTGGTAAAACATGCATAATAGAATTTACTGTTCCACCTTCCCAAACCGAAACCCCGTCCCCATGAAGTGTCAGCCTCTCCCCAGCCCCCGGCCCACCACCCGTCGTGTCTGGCTCGCTTACCCTGGTGAGGGGCCCTGGAGGCACATCCACATGGCAACAGGCGTCAGAATGCTTCCTTTTCAGGGCCGGGTCCTGTTGGCTGTGCGGACAGACCCTGTTTTGTTGGCCTGTTCTGTTCTCCGCTGATGGGCGCTGGGGTCGCTGCCTCTCCTTTTGTGGGTTTGCTGTTACGAGCATGGCTACACGGAGATTTCTCTGAGTCCCTGCTTTCCAGTCTCTTGGCATGTGCCCAGCAGCGGACCTGCTGGACCATCGTCGTTCTGTCTGTTTTCTTGAGGGGTCTGGAGAAATTGCTCTGCAGGGACAGCGCAGTGGAGCATTCATAGGGTGCATGAGCAGACTGGACGTCCCTGTCCCACCCACCTCTGAGGCGGGAAGGAGGGGCTGTCCCGGGGAAAAATTTCAAAACATCTAATCAAGGGTAAGAATGAGAATGGGCTTGGGACTGGTCACTCAGAGTCTGAATTAGTAAAAAAAACAAACAAGAAAACCAAAACCAAAACACCACTAAACTCCTGGTGGATTCTAAGTTTTTGGGATATTTAGAATTCCAAGAAAAAAAAGTTTTTGTAAACAAACACACAATGGCAAATAACGTCCTTTGAGGCACTAATACTTCCTGTTCTGCTTAGGTCAGTTCTTTTATAAGCAGAGGTGCAGCTCGGAGACCAGAGGGAGGCCCAGGAGCGCTGCCCGAAAGCTGTGTGGGGGCCGAGGGGCCTGCACAGCGGGTCCGTTCCAGTCATCAGCCATAGCCCAGCGGCAGACACACCACTAATCTAATCCAAGTGGGGTCACTAGGTCAGAAAAAAGAAGTACTTGTGTCATGCACCCACACCTCCCCCCTTCTGCCCGTGTGTGGGCTAGCTCACAGAATCAGGGTCAGGTCCGCGGGAGGTTCCCACAGCGCCGGTGAGGAGGACGCAGGTTCTGATGAGCAGACAGTTTATTCACTTCTCAGTGTCCGGTTTTGCCGTTTGTCTCTGAGGGATTCTCGGGGTGTTCTGCCTTTCCACAACTGGAAAGATTTTCCAGTTTTGTGTTGCCTGTGGTCCTAGAGTTAAACAACCCCCTGGCTGGGGTGGGGGGTGTTGGGAGGGGGGTGCAGACAGGCTGCATGGCGGGGGCTGTGAGGAGAGGTGGGATACCCTCCTCTTCAGTCCTGACTCCCTTTGCTGTGGCCTCAACCGTGGACGTGGCAGGGGCTTGTCCACAAAGGGCGACCAGGGTCGAAACCTTTGCTCACACCTGCCAGGTGGCGTTCGGGGTGCCCCCTGTGGTAGACATGAGGGTTACATCACAGGCCAGTCTTGGGTAATCCTGTGTTGTGAATTTCCCTGCAGATATGAACAGGACCTTCCCGGACAACGTGAAATTCCGGAAGAGCGCGGATCCCTGTTTACAAAAGACCCTGTACAACGTGCTGGTGGCCTATGGGCGCCACAACCAAGGTGTGGGGTACTGCCAGGTGAGCCCCCAAGGGAAGGTGACAGCGGCCAGCAAGGATGTACTAACCCTGTTCACGGGCTCCCTAGTCATGGTGCCTGTGACTTTGACACATTCCCCAGGTGGAAAAGTGGTGAAACATATGCTTAATGACTTACTTTGATGTCAGAAGGCGGGGGCTGGGAAGGTAGGAGGTCACTTAAGTGGCCCCAGGGCTGTAGGTACTGAATGAGTGACTAGCACCTGCTGGGCTCAGTGCAGGGCGTGTGTGGGGCACTCCTCCCATGCTATTTCTGGGAGTCAGATCTTCCCCTGCGATGAAGGGGACAGCCTGCATCCTCACCTGCCAGTTCCTGTCACCTTGCGAGGACATGCACTGTCTGGGGTGTCGGGGAGGGAAAGACAAGGGCCCACGTGTGGAGCCACAGAAGTGCCATTGGCGAGCCTGCAGGGGACGCGGGACATCCCGTGTGGGCCTGAGGGGCTGGAGGCCTGCCAGTGTGCTGGCTGCTTGGGTGCCTGGAGTTCTGCTTCCCGCTTTGGTGCTCCTGCTTCTAGGGCTTCCCAAGGGTGCTGGGATCTGCGTGGGGACTTTGTAGCCCACCCTCTCAGGCGAGGCTCCAGGGGCTCGGTGGCTGGGCTGGGGGGCCGTGGCTGCAGCGACGGGAGGGGCAGAGCATCTTGCAAAGACAGCAGCAAAGGCGCAGGCCAGACAGGCTGTTTTCTCAGTGCCCTGGAGCCTACCCGCGGTGCCAGGGGAGGAAGTCAAGATGGGTAACTGGCCGTCCTGGACGAGGACAGGCCTGTTGGAGCCGGGGAGGCTGGGCAGCCAAGAAACCGTCTTTATGTTATTCCACTCGCTGTTCTTGTAGGTTTTAAAAACAGCGTTAAAACAACCCTTACAACTTTAAGCGTGAGCGCGATGTGCAGCTCATGGTCCGTATCTGTGCACACGCAGCTGCGGGGACAAGGTCTGCAAGCTGAGTGTCAGGAATGGGAGTCTGTTCTCCGTGGTCGGA